CGGCAGGCGGACTCTCAACCACTGCGCCACCAGGGAAGCCCCAGTGCTATAAATTCTTAAAGGAAAATGCAGATTTTAGACAAAATTATTCTTTACTTTTAACATTTGGTAATAGGGTGTGTGTTGGATTAAGTTTAATTTCTCTCACCTGGCAAAATTGACAAGCACCAATTTTGAAGGCATGGCTAGGCATTTTAAAAACTTCTAACTCTGGGGTCTTAGCATCTACCCTGAAGGAGAATTAGGTGAGATAGATATTTTGGGGAGGGAGGGAATTAAAAGATAGATTTTGTGACTGTATCTTGAGTTGTTTTCTAAATCTAGTGTGGTCAGTGGCCCAAGACAGGCAGCTGGCTGCATGTTCAGACTGCTGATGAGATGCTGCTTGTTGATGGGCCTGAGTGCTCATGTTTGCCAGGTGAAAGTAGTTAGCACTTCTGTGGAATAAAAAGACTGTGGGTCTTGACATTATTTGATACAGCTGTTTAGTGTGATGGGTAAGAAGCAGTCACCTGCTCCGGCTTTCTGCAGGAGGCCGTCAACAATTAGAATATTTAACCAGTGAAGGCTGGAGGTCTTCCTGACAAGCCAGTTAAAGGACTTGAAAAATGTCTCTCTACATTTGACTTCCATTAAAGACAGGAATTTCTACACAAAAAGAAATCTCTGGTTCTACTACTCAAATGGTGGTGCAGGGCCCAGCAGCATTGTCACCACTCAGAAGCTTGTTAGCAGTGAGGAATTCCAGGTGCTCACTGGTGGCAGGAGTGTTCTGGTACTCATAGCCTCTTACGTGGGAGTGAGGCTCTTTGCAGTCAGCCTGGACATTTGGACCATAGTCTCTGAGGTTTTTTCTAACACCAACATCCTATGAATGTAAATATAGTGATTCATAATCAAACTTCTATATTTTCCTAGATGTTTCTGTTGTTGGAAGATAATTGAGAATCACCTTTATTTAACACTTTTTCTGAGAACCAGTATTAAAAATATTATAGGGAAATGCCAGAAGACTTGGTGTTAACCAGGACTTTTCCGCTCTCAGGTTTGCAGTGGGTAAGAGTGCAGAATTAAGGAGCTTCTCTAATTAAGTGACAGAAAGACTTAAGTGTGAAAAAAAAAATGTGTATAGCTATTTGCTGCTTAGTTAAAAATTTTTTCTCTAACCTTCCAAGGCAGGTTTTTGGTTTTAACTTTTTCTTTGTGCCTAGATTCCTTTTGACAGTCTAGTGAATTCTGTGGGCCGCTTCTCAGAACAGTGTTTGAAATGTATGATTATAAAAAACAGGCCTGTAAAGGAAGCCAATAAATGACATTCTCAACATATTAATTTAAAACATTGGGATAAATTCATCATCAATATCTAATCCCTACTGTGATTTCAAAAATACTGATTAGTAGAAATGATATTTTAAGATCTGCAACTACTCCAGTGTGCTGTGGAAATAGTTTTGATTCCTATGAGTGACAGAGCTAAAGGCACTGCTGACATTAGCCAGGTTGTTTTTGTTTTCCCCCCTACATTCATAATCAATAGTAATGCTAAATTTCAGCTAAAGGTTAATGAAGATAAAGAGGTGACATTTTTTTCCCCCCGGCTGATTCACAGACTCTTGATTTCATGTTCTAAGGTGATTTGATAACACTGACATTCTAGGACCACATTTTAATTTTAATTTACTTTTGTTGGAAGCCTGTGATAGGATTCTCTAAGGAGAAGGGGTCTGATTTTTAATCTCATCTGGCCCATGACTACAGTGAGCGTATTTTTTGAATCCAGAGTCTGATTTATTAACTTTTTGTGGGTAGAGGTAGTCACATAAATATTAACTTCCTTAATAGATATAATCTATCTCCTTTGGAAATAAAAAATTGTGTGAAGAAGAGATATATACTGAAAGGTGATAGAACAATTTAATTTTATCATTACCAAAAAACATCTACTATTAAAGGCACTAGATAAAGTCCATTGCATGTGTACTTACTCTTCAGGAAGCATTTGAATGAATGTTTGAAGAGAACAACCCCATGGGGTAGATGATATGATCTTCATCTGGAGGTTGAGGAAACCGAGGCTTAAAGAAGACAAGGAATGAGCCCAAGGTCACAGAGTCAGTGGAAAGCCAGAATTTGACTCCATGTAGTTCTGGTTCCAAAGTCTATGTACGTGGCAGCGAAATCTTTAAAAAATGGGAATGGTGCGCTATAAGCTGTCATGGTGTGTGTGAGTGTGTGCACTTACGTCATTCTGTAAGATGGCGTTTTTCCATCTTTTTGTGTCTGCTTGATCCACCCAGCACTCCTCAAGTGTCAGAACCAAGAAATTCATTTTTATTATTTATCTGTTAAAGAGCGTTTTATGTCTACTATTTACTTATAATTGATAATGCAGATAATAGACTGATATTTCTTTTAAAAGTCATGTTAAGGCATTTTTGTTTTTTTTACTTAGGAATTTATGACCCTAGGCAATAAAATTGTATCCCACTCATGATCTAAGTGCTCATTGGAGCTAATTATTCAAATAAAAATAAACCTAAGACAAATAATATAACCTGTGGTCTTTTAAATTGATCACAGCACGGGAAGGGAGGAGACAAGCAGTGGGCCACCAGCCAACAGGTATTAATTTAGTACTTACACTGGTTGCCTAGCACTGCCAAGTCCTGTGAAGGACGCAGGGAATAATGGTCTATCCTGGCCTTGCAAAGACCTCCTTACTCCTGGGTGGGAATGGAGTTCACAGTGTGGAAGTGGGTGTGGTTAGCAGATGGGTACCAAAGGGCAAACCAGGTCGGTGGATGCAATAAGTCCTCTCTGCTGCCGCTGTTTGATCATATCAGGTAAACTCTGCCCGCTCAGTTTTTGGTTGGGCTCTGAAATAAAGAGAATAAGCCGCTTTGGTCTTAATACTGTGCCTGGCAATGTTGTGGAAAGTGGCCCGAGAATGACAGCGAGTCTGAATGTGGTTGGCTGGTGCACAGAAACTTATTACTCATACTCCTGGGTCTGCAGAGCCTGATTGACTCTCTGCATGCTGTGCAGAAAGTGTCAGGTGACTTGTACGAGGCTTTGGTGCTTCGTGTGAGAATGGACAGTGCCGTGTGGCTGGGACACAGGGTTACTTCTTGGGGTTACAGAAGATGATGCTGCTTCCACCCTCTTCCTCCGAGAACAGAGATCTTTTTTTACTGTTCTGTGAGAGACATCTATACCAATTGTCACACAGTGAAACTGGGGATTTGGAAGGGGTGTGTGTCTAGGCCTTTAATAAGACCAGTAGTTTCCCCTCCCCTGTCTTCTTTCTTCTGTGCTTATGTTCTGAGGGATTTTTTCTCCTTTTCAGTTTGGCACGAGTTGTGTCTGATTCAGTTTTTCTTGCTGTGGTTGTTACGTCCTTGGACGAAATACCAAAACACTTTTGACTCTCCTTCCCTCTCCCCCAGCCACTCCCCTGTCTGGGCCAGAGGCTGAATGATGTGTTTTTCTCATTCTTGTGCCTCATGATAGCCCGCCATTTGGGAGCCAGCTGTTGCGTGGACAGCTGCTGCAGGGCCGGGAAGCTGAATGCCAGGCTCTCTTCTCGGGGGAGAATTAGAGCTTCTCCTTGACACAGCACTGGAGGTACCGTGAGAGGGTCCCATTGGCCCTTCACATCAGTGGGCCATGCAGCTGGGCCACCAGTGCTATGAAACTTAGACCAAGCTCTGGTAACTCTTTGTTGAGAGGGTTGAATATAACCAGTGTTAGAACAGAGCCATGCACACCTTGGATCCTTGCTGCCCTGAGTACAGGCCCTGAATGGTATAGTAAGACCCGTGGGCGTCTGTGCAGCTTTGCTTTCAAAGCATCCTGTTGTTACTGCTTCTTAATAGTGTGTAAGTTAATGTTCCGTTGTACCCATTCAACATACTGTTAAGATAGTAGGTTATAATTTTCTGTGTAGCAGTAAACATTTTGATTGTTTGCTTTATGTATCTGAATAAAATTCTCTTTAAACACAGATGTTATAATACATGATTTGGGATGCTTTTAGAATGAATGAAACTTATTCTAAAGCCAATTATTTGAGTCAGTTTAATATATCTCAAAAATGTAATTGTTCTATTAGTGAAGATAAAGTGAACTTTAATAATGACTTGTGGATAAGGTAGAGGTATTTAAAAAACCCATACATACAGCATATACATAAACACACACACACACATGCAAATTTATTTTATTGGATACATCTTTTGCCTGTAGCTTTAAAAAACAAATATGTAATGTCCTTAGAGGGTTTGAACCTAGTAGTTCAAATTTGGTCTTTTTTGCTTTAAGATATTGTAGTGGTTTCCTAGAATCTTTTTTAACTTTCTCAAAGAGTGGAAATAAAGGAAAAGTGAAAGGGAGTTCCTTATGATTGTGACTTTCAACTTGGAATGAAGTTTTAAAAGGATGTTTAAATCTTCCTGGACGGAAAATACTGGCTCCAATCTGACAGTACTCCGTGGCGTTGTACCGTTGCAGGCAGAAACAAAGTTTAAGGAGGAATTGGCTTTAGGAGTTGAGATAATTGTGTTTGATTGGGGTATGTGTACTTTTAACCAGTAGTTTCCAATTCACATTTTATCCATGAATAAGAGCCAATTATTGTCCTTGACTGAGCTCTCATTTCAGTGTCCACAGGGGCTGTTTGCTGGCAGTACTACCATAGAATAAAGACTAGATGTAGATGTAGATGTATTACGTCTAGTCATTTGGGTAGATGTTTGATTTCACATCCAAGAAAATGAGGCCCAAGAGACCCACCTTAAAGTGTTTTAATATTTATAACACACACACAAACACGCATTCAAAAACAAACCAGTACTGAGCCCAGTGGAATGCTAGTAGCTGTTTGCATAGGACTTTGTTAAAATGTTTACACTTAAATAAGTATGTGAACTGTAAACTGTTCCATTTTGGACTCTGGACTACTCCTTATGGGTTAATTAACCTTTTTTTTTCACCCCCTGCAGAACTGGCTAGATCCCGCAAAAGAAATGAAGAGACAGCTGCGAAGTGAGTATTAAATCATCATACTTTGAAGTTATCAAGTTAATCTTTACATCTGTGTTTTTCTATCTTTACTAAAATTCACAGGAATGTAAACTAGAATAAGATGGTGATAGAATGATCAGCTCTGTTTTGCATTCATATCATATAGGAAGTTGAGACTCAACAGTATTTCTGTAGAATCATGACTTTATCTTGGTCATGGCTTAGGGACTCCTGGTCAAGAGGTTGGAGACTCCGCTTCTTAAATAGTCCCTCACAGTGTCTACCACTGTGAAGCAACACCTGATCTTTATCTCTGGGGGAAAAGTATGAGAAGCTGCTTTTCTGTAACTCTCCCTTTTTATGTGAAATGTACCCAAGAGAGCCCTATTACTCTTGCTTTGTCTGCTTGATTTTGGCTGTGTGTCCAATTAGTTTAATTAGTAAGCATGCCTCTGCCTCCAGAGGCATATGGATACACTGTTTCTGGATGTCCTGGAGTGAGGATTTGAGGAGTGAAGGGCATGCAGAATGATCCTTCCAGTCCTCTGAGGTGTTTGCCTTCTCTCCTCCTTTGGCTACTTTTTGTGCTCTGAGTCTGGGTTTGTTCTTAGTTTTGTTTGTCCCTTTCTTCCATTTCCCCATTTGTCCTTAGTGTCGTCTCCCTAAGTGACTTATGTGTCCCACTCTATCTAACCAGCTTCAGTTCCCTCCTGTGACTGGTTTTGTGATACCTGCATCACGAATCATTATCACCTCAGAACAATCTCTGATAGGGGATCTGGCTACTTAAATTACTTCAGGGTCTGTGAATGACTTAAGCAGAAAAGGGAGGCAGCCACAAACAGCTGGACTGTTCAGACAAGAGAACAAAATTCATACCAGCCCTTTGGACGGTGGGCCCCAGAGCTGTCCAGGGAGAAGCCATTTCCCTGAGTGCCAGCCTGCAGGATGCTCTTTGCACTGTTGGTTTCATTTCCCTACTTATTTATTATTCCCAGCTTTATTATTCCCAACGTTAAAACACTGGAAACACATCTATGCTTTTCCCTTCGGTTCCTTTCTGTCTACCTTCCATCTCATTTTCAATTCTCCACATTTGTTTTCTTTCTTTCTCTCTCAAATTATTAATAATTCTGGGAGTGTTCCTATCATTTCTTTCCTTCTCTACTCTCCTTTTTTTTTTTTTTTTTTTTTCCACTGAGTGTACACCTTATTTTTCCTATTTCCTCTCCTTGTAGACTCATCTTTCTTTTCATTTTTAAAATATCTTTGATTAGAGTGACCTTCCTGATTTGCCCAGGACTGTGAGGGCCTGAGGGGTTTCTCAGGATGTGGGACTTTTAGTGCTAACTGGGGTGGTTGTTCACCCTATCTTTTGACTGTTATCCCTGGCTTTCCATCCTTCCCTCCCTCCCTCCCCCACCCCTCTGCCCTGCATTTATTATCTTGGTGTTTCATCCATTCATGTTTGCTTCATAATAGAAAAGGGGGAAAGTAAGGAAAAGGAGTAATTAGACAGAGATACATTATGCTTATACTATGGAAGAAACTGTACCAGAAAGCTTCGGAACTTTTTCTAGTCCCTTCTGCGGTGGTTAAAACTCTGCAAAGTGCGTGAATTCAAAAAGGTCTGGATGCTTGGTTCTTTCACTTTCTCTGAAACCCTACCTGCCAAGTGACCCAAACCATGGACGGAACAGGATAACCTCTGAAACATGATTGATGTTCCATTGAATTTGTTTCCTATAGTTTTGCTTTGGCTTTTGTTGGATTATGTTTGTGTGCTACTCACTTCAGAGTCATGGAGCTATCCTAACTTTTGGAAGGCAAGACTCTATCCTGCTGATTATGAATCACGGTCTTACGTTTTGATTATTTGTGAAGTTTTTTTTTTTAGAGTTATTTCAGGACTTTTGCCCTTGTGGTTTGGCAAGAGGAATAACAGTAACACAGGATTTGGCATTTTCAGACTATTGGAACTAGTTCCCTAAATGGAATCCTGTACCATCCTGATCATGAAAGTAGGCTGAGGAAATGAAGTTTTAGCTGTTGCATTTTACCTCTTTCTTTCTGCTTGTGTTAAAATGGATGAAAGAACTGTTTGTTCTATCTTAGCCCAACCTCTGCAGTGATTTATTGTCATTCAGTTAACAGCGGTAAACATTAATCTTTTTTGAGTTACTCTTGACAACTGACAGCCTATCAGTTTCTGTGTAAAAGTTGCCTAAAAATCTTTATTTTCTCAAATGTACACAAACAAGGCTATAGAGATATATAAGGCTATAGAGATATATAAGGCTATATATCTTAGGCTTGCCTGTATTAATATGTAAACAATTCATAGCTAGATAGACTGTTTATGTAGCTAGGTAAAAATGATAATACATAACTAAATAAAGAGCTTAGCATTATCGGTACAACTTTATCAACTTTAGAATTGGAAATAGAACCTGAAATATGTGTTCTATTAGAAACTTGTCCCTGTTGTCATATTGAGGTAAGCATGTGCTGGTGTTAATACCTCGGAAACAAATAAATAAAGATCCATTAAGAAATGATATGATAATCCTGTGGTGACTTTGCTTAATTATGGGTTAGTAATTACCTTGAAGAAGTACATATGCATCACAGCCAACCTGGTGCTACTGGCCAAGAAATGGCATGTCTCTTAATACTCAAGAAAGTTCTATATCTTTTTTATGATGTTTTAAATGTATAGAGGGAACTTAAATCTGTTTATTAAATTTGGCAGGTTTGTGTTATTAGTAGAATAATGATGTATTGAGCCAAAATCCAGCAAGAGTTCTGTGTAGTCACAGTAGCTATTCAATAACTCTTCATTGACTTCTGAGTAGGAGAGAAGTTAGCGTGTCTGCGGTGAGAAAAGAACAAAATGATCCATTGAGCAAGAGAATGGGATTCAAGAAATTTTTCTTCAAGTCCCTAAATGAAAGCAACTGTGAGGCCTTCAAATATGTGTGAAATGAAATAACACACACACACGTTTTTATGTTTTTATTTGGAGATACCATGAACTTTGAGTATAACTCTGAATTCAGACCATTGGAATTATTTTGATCCCTTTACGAAAATAATACCTGCCCTGTCCCCAGAGTTGAGTGTTTTTGTTTGTTGTTGTTGTTGTTTTGTTTTTAAAGCCATCCGAAGCATGATAAATCGAACATAAGTTAAATGGTAATGTATAAATAGCAGTGTTTTAACTTTCGTTAAGTCATTATGGCATGGTTGTTTACTGTATTCACTATATGAGTATTCTTAAGCCTACTTTATAAAACCTGGGAAATATTTTTATTGTCTTTAAGTATTGTTACGTTATATCACTCTCTCCCTTCCAGTAGCCCATTAATATATATATATTTTTTTTTTGCGGTACGCGGGCCTCTCACTGTTGTGGCCTCTCCCGTTGTGGAGCACAGGCTCCGGATGCGCAGGCTCAGAGGCCATGGCTCACGGGCCCAGCCGCTCTGCGGCACGTGGGATCTTCCCGGGCCGGGGTTCAAACCCGTGTCCCCTGCATCGGCAGGCGGACTCTCAATCACTGCGCCACCAGGGAAGCCCATCATTTCTTGAATAGTTACAGTGATCATTTGATCATTACTCCTCTTCCCCCAACAATATAGAAATCCTAATTTCTTTTTTTAAAAATAAATTTATTTTATTTATTTTAATTTTGGCTGTGTTGGGTCTTTGTTGCTGAGCGCGGGCTTTTCTCTAATTGCAGCGGGCAGGGGCTACTCTTCGTTGCGGTGCATGGGCTTCTCATTGCAGTGGCTTCTCTTGTTGCAGAGCATGGGCTCTAAGCACATGGGCTTCAGTAGTTGTGGCGCACGGGCTCAGTAGTTGTGGTGCACGGGCTCTAGAGCGCAGGCTCAGTAGTTGTGGCACATGGGCTTAGTTGCTTCGCGGCTTGTGGGATCTTCCCGGACCAGGGCTCAAACCCGTGTCCCCTGCATTGGCAGGCAGATTCTTAACCACGGCACCCCCAGGGAAGCCCTCTTTTTTTGTTGTTTTTAAAGTGTGGAGAATATTTGGCATCTAGAGATCCTGTGGTTAAAAAATCTTACCTCAGAACTATTACATGAAGTTTATATTAAAATGTTTGCATACTAGATCACCATATAAAACATTTGTTGACATACCAGTAAATGTTTATAAAAAAGTGAACCTATTATTCTTTGATGATGGGTTATTTACGGAATGGATTTTTACTTTATTTTTCACTTCATTTTTGTTTTGTAAATGATATTTAAATTAAAAAAATTCTGTAAATTGATTTATAGCAGGACTGATCTATACTATTTGAACATTGACCTTTAAGTTTTATTGTTATAAATGGTGATTGTGTTGGTTGCATAAATAATAATGATCTTTAATAATTACAGGCCTTCCTTGGCTGTTCAGCTTTAATGTGAAGTTTTATCCTCCTGATCCTTCTCAGTTGACTGAAGATATCACCAGGTACTTTACATTTATACTAAATGATTCTTTTTTTTTTTTTTTTTTTTTTTTTTTTGTGGTACGTGGACCTCTCACTGTTGTGGCCTCTCCTGTTGCAGAGCAGAGGCTCCGGACACACAGGCTCCGGACGCTCAGGCTCAGCGGCCATGGCTCACGGGCCCAGCCGCTCCGCGGCATGTGGGATCTTCCCGGACCAGGGCACGAACCCGTGTCCCCTGCATCGGCAGGCGGACTCTCAACCGCTGTGCCACCAGGGAAGCCCCTAAAAATGATTCTTTACTTACAGCTCTCATTTATTTCAGTGCCCTGTTGGGGAATGGTGGTAATTTTAGGATTAAAACCAAAACATTTTTTCTTAGGCTGAGTTTTAGAAATTTCCTTGGAAGTGGATATTCCAAAATAGTTTGAAATGTTTATAGTTTCAGAAATTTTATTCACTTTTCTTTAACTTCCCATTTATATTCAAGTAATGGAATGTTTTTTTAAGATTGCAGCAGGGACTTCCCTGGTGGTCCAGTGGTTAAGACTCCAAGCTCCCAATGCAGGGGGCCCGGGTTCTGTCCCTGGTCAGGGAACTAGATCCCGCATGCCGCAGCTAAGACCCGGCACAGCCAAATAAATAAGTAAATATTTTTAAAAAAATTGCAGCAACTTTGTTTCCTATGTTATACTTTCAAAAATCACTGGTATTTAATATTTCAGATTTTCATACTAAGATAGTTTTTATCGTGTAACCCATGTGTGCCTGTGTACCACTAATCTCAGCTTACAAACATTATATAAAGGTAGAAAAATGAAAAACTTTGTAAAAGTTAATTTTTGGAAGTCTCTTGAACTGTAATTTTTACATACACACACACACATCTGCTCCCCAGAATAAAAAACTAATAAGGTAGGCTTGCTTATGTAAGAGTCAGTAGCTATTTCATTTCCATCCGAGATTATCTGGACAATACAGACACATGCTTAAATTGCAAATAAAAGTTTCAGTTTAGGAGCAAGAGAGCATTTACTGATTTTGAGAGTGACTAAGTGTTTGAATGGGAACAAGGAACATTTAGAGTCCACGAGTACCTTGATATCTTAGCCCTATTTAAGCTGGGTATCAGAGATTGAAATTCTTAGCTCTGGTAAGAGTACGTCTGTAGAGTGATTTGTATATATTTTTAAAAGATTATTTACCTGGCCAAGGAAAACTGCATTCTGTTTATATACTTTTGGAAAATTAGAGGGTGTTAGCCAAAGACTCTGTTTTTGATTCCGGTGGTTCCTGTGTCCTTGACGTTTTCTGCTAGGCCAGTTTTGTCATCAGATGTGAAGTTGGGTAGATATTTAAGCAAGTGCATGATATCCATGTGAACTAGGAATAATGGAGATGTTTTTCCAAGATTGGATAAATGACAGGCCTTTCCCCCCCACCCCCTCCTTTACTGGTTATTGTTGAATAAGGATTTACTGATACTAATTAAGTTTTGATTGAATTAGCTTCAGCTAGTAAATAATAAATAGCAGCTTTTGTAACTACGCAGTGAGCTGCTTAAGAGCACGAAACTTGACAGGTTGCTGTACGTAGGATACGCACGTAGGCCTCACTGCGGGAGGGCCTTTGAACAGTGCACATAACTGGGGCTTTGTGACCCAGCGCCCTCTTTGTACATGCATTCCTCCTTGCAGTGATTCGTTTGGGGATGATAATCCTTTGTGATTGCAACTTTATAGCATCCGTAAAGTGCTTTGGTTTTCTTTTTAGAGGGACCTTGAACAGTCTCCCTGCGTGTTTGGGGAAGAATGAAATAGTAGTCTCGTGAGCTAACTAAAAGCCTGAGACCAGCCTGTGGCTTTGCAGCCTAAATATCACGATTGAAATCTTCACTATGACTTGAGTGAACATCTAGAAGGTGGGATAGGCTTTTGAGGAGGGCGAGAACACAGTTCAGAATTGTGTCTGAAGAATGATCTGTCCTGCTGTATGAAGGAGATGGACTTGGGAAACTCAGGAGGCTGTTGCAGCTTTTGTTTGAAGTTTTCGGGCCGTAGCCATAGGCTTTAAAACAAGAAAGGATCAATGTGAAAAGTAGATATACTAATATAAGGAGGAGAAACAAGATTTTAGTAATAGATGGACTCTTTGTGTTTAGGTCTTAACAGTGCTGTAAAATGTGGAGAACTAGTGATATGCTTGATTAGACCAAGAGAATTTGAGGATAACATGGAATCGTAGTTTAAAATTTAGTTTGCTAAAACAAAGCAGTGATGCTCATGTTGTTCCAGGGGTCAAGGAAACACATAATTCTCCTTGGAAAGAGAGCTACTGCAGTGCTTAAAAATACTCAGACTGTAGTGATAGTGAGATGAGTTTCATTCTTAGAAAATTCTGGAGCACTCGTCATGTGGCAAGTACTTTGCTAATAACTGTGGGCTTATGATGATGATAAACAGAATCCCTGCCCTGCCTGACAGGAGATTTGGGTGGTAATACAGGTGTAACTGGGGTATGGCTGATGCCGTGTTCTGGGACGTGCTCTCTGACCCAACAGCAAGAGCCCTGGACCACAGGCAGCGTGCCCCTTTGACCATGGCGGGGGTAGAGGCAAAAGGAGGGCGGAGCCATGACAACCCCGCCAGGCAAAAGCATCCACAGGAAGAAGCCACCAGCTAATAGGAATGGCAGTGTCTTCAAGAATGAGGGAGGGTGCTGCCATTTTCTTGGGAGGAGTCAGTGGTAACCTTAGCAAGTGGTTCAGTTCAAGACTAGAAATTAGGTTTTCAAATGTTAACAAAAGGAGTTGATGGGGGACCCCCCCCAACCCTCAAAAAATATAAGTAATGTGTTTTTGCATGTTATTTAGTAAAAGCCAGAATCTTTTATAACTGTGTAATAATCCACTTGGAACACTGAATGATTGTTATTATAACTAATAATAACATTATTATGATTATGGCTACTAGTTATCTATTGCCAGGTACCATGCAATGTCTTTTATTTATATTATCTAATTTTTTATCCTCATCTTTAAAGGGAAATAGAGTTCTTCCCATTTTACAGGTGGGAAGTTAGACTCAGGCAAGTAAATTAGCCTACTCAAGGTCACATGGTCATCTCTGCCAGGCTCTGAAGCCCATGATTTTTCTACTGTAAACTGAATTAGCTGCCTCTTTAGATAGGGTAAATGGGCAAGTAAGGGCTTCCAAGTAGAGACTGACTTATGATTGTTGTTAAAGGGTCTCAGGAAAAGAAATTAGTATGAAAAGCGTAGAGAGGATAAAGGGTGGGTGACCTTAACTTTTCATGTAAATCCTGAATGAGGAACTGTAGCTATTTGTTAAATTTTATTAGTCTTTATAACTTTTGAAGAGCATGCTAATCTTGATTACAGTTTTAAAGCCAAGGAGACCAAGTGATTAGAATTTCACCTGCAGTCACAAAACTCTTTTTTTGTAATAGTAAAAATCCACTGTTGCCTGAATAGCAATTCAGAATTTCCACTCTATTACTTTGCCCTCTAGATGCATTTTTTGTAAACAAGTCACAAGTTTAGGAGTCCATGGAGGAAGGTGGGCTTCTTATTACAAAACACTTCTCTTGTTCTGCATTTGAAGAGTGCCTATATTATATATTTGTTTCAGAGAAACATCCGAATCATATTTATGAGCGCTACAATCTTAATTAACTGTTCTCCCACCCTTTTGTCCCCTGTTCCTCACAGATACTTCTTGTGCCTTCAGCTCCGGGAGGACATTGCCTCAGGCCGCCTGCCCTGCTCGTTTGTGACGCATGCCCTCCTGGGATCGTACACACTGCAGGCTGAACTTGGGGACTATGACCCAGAAGAGCATGGCAGTCATGACCTCAGTGACTTCCAGTTTGCCCCTACGCAGACGAAGGAACTGGAAGAGAAAGTGGCAGAGCTGCATAAGACCCACAGGTCTGTAGACTTGCTTACTGGAGAGAGTGACCGTGGTGGGCTTAAATGGCTTCCCTTATAGCATTTGCTGGACATTTGAGCATAGTTGATGGGATTATTCAGTTTGCCCTTGTGGAGCTTCACCTAGTGCTAGTCAAGATAACTTGGAGTCATTGAGACAGCCTTCCATTGTCTTTATGACTGTAATATGAGGAACTGCGCTCATGAGACTAAATGTTTTCATTTATTAAAAAAATTTACTGGGCTTCCCTGGTGGCGCAGTGGTTGAGAGTCCGCCTGCCGATGTAGGGGACACGGGTTCGTGCCGCGGTCCGGGAAGATCCCACGTGCCGCGGAGCGGCTGGGCCCGTGAGCCATGGCCGCTGAGCCTGCGCGTCCGGAGCCTGTGCTCCGCAACGGGAGAGGCCGCAACAGTGAGAGGCCCGTGTACCACAAAAAAAAAAAAAAAAAAAAAAAAAAAAAAAAAAAAAAAAAAAAAAAAAAAAAAAAAAAAAAAAAAAAAAAAAAAAAAAAAAAATTTATACTTTTCCCTATGATATCTCCTGTGCCCTACTTCCAGTCCTCTCCCTTCATACACACACGTGCACACACATACACATACACACACCTGAAACAAACATACGCACGTACTTGTTTGGCATTGATTATACATTTCTTCTGCCTTTTAATTATTTTTATTACCATATTTGATAAGAAAGCCAGGGAGATAATGAGGCATCAGGATTTGAGTCAGAAATGTGAGTGGTAATGGGCGTTAAGGGTAGTAAATCTACAGGTGGTTTCTCTATCCACAGAAGATGACTTTTGGTTTAACTGAGGGTTATTAATTACTTAAATACCATGTCACACTTTGAGAACTTTTACATCTGTGAAAACAAATGGTTCTCTTAAGCATGAGCTTTTAAAACTCCCAGCTACGAAATTTTAACTTGTCCCATGTGGCAGAATTGAAGTTTTCAAAAATTTCGACTGAAATGATTTGAAAGGAACTTTCAGAGATTAGAGTTTTTTAAACAGACTACCTTCACTGACTTTTCTTTAAAAAAAAAAAAATGCAGTATTTGACTTTAAATATTGTCTTATTAACTTCGTTCCAAGTCTGTTCAGTAGACATGTATTATATATTTTGAAATTGAACTATCAGGTGCTGAAATGCCATGGGGAATATGAAAATTAATGGGATCCTGCTTTCTAGGAGCTTAAGACTTGTTTAGTTGGAACATGTCACGTGTAACATCAAGCCCAAGTACTTCTCATCTTTAGTATCGTCAGTCGTAATGAAATAAAATTAAGGAGAGAATTTATCTATTTCGGAAGGATGAAATGACTTTCTATTTTTTTATTCTTTTATTTTTAAAGTTAATTTATGTTGTACCCACTATTGCTGGGGCTTTTTCCGTAGTGGAAAAAAATGAAAGCAACTTTCTAAGGTAAAAAGGGTAAGTGTGGAGGGCCACATCCTTGCAGTGAGTAGATTCATATCGGAGGATCTTAAGAGAAAAATGCTGGAGGTTGAGAGTTGAGCCTTCTTCCCTGATTCCTCCTTGTCTGCACATTTAGCTGGGCTACTGCACCCCAAACTCTCCAAGCTCATGCACCCCTTTCTCTAGTTTGGTTACATTTGCTTTGCATCCACCAGTAAGATAATATTGTTTCTTTTCATTCTTAGGGGTTTATCTCCAGCACAAGCTGATTCTCAGTTCTTAGAAAATGCCAAGAGGCTTTCCATGTATGGAGTCGACCTGCATCATGCCAAGGTACTGTGCGTGGAACGGAAAGGGGGCCTCTTTCCGGCCTGTTGACTGAAGTTTTGCAAGGGCTCCAGTTGTAGACTAGCCTAGTTCACTTTTAGAAAAGGATCCTCACGCTCACCCAAGGGACTCTGTTTCTTTGGGGTTTCTGATTGGGGGGGGGGGTTTATGGTTGTGGGGAGGGATCATTGATTCTCCCTCTTATTCTTTCTTCTTTTCCCGGTCTTTTAAGTTGATACCCTTTCACATATACTTACGGTAAGACTCACCTTATCAGCCTTCTTTACCCCTCGTCCTACCTTTATTCTGTCCCAGCTTTTGCTCTTGCAAATGCTGCATCTGTCATAGCCTTGTCTCCCACCTGTGTCCTGGGAGAGGAGAGCAGCTCTTAGCCACCATGAAAGGGCGAGGCAGCATGGATATGACCACCTTCGGAAAAACTGCCGGTGAAGGAGCCCTAGAGTTAGTCTTGTCCCTACAGGTCTGTTGTACTTCTTGTAAGATAAACTATGCTGGCCCAGGCTCCAGGCAATTAGACCTTCTGTCCCATGTGAGCAGTGGGAAAAGAATGGAATCATGGAGGTAGCTGATAGGAGAGGCAGGGTTTGGTGAGGAAGATGCCAGGTAACAAACATCACCTACTTCATGATCCTAGTTTGGATGATCAGGCAGTAGGGAGAGTCGGGGCGGGAGCAGTAGGTGGGGAGTACAAGAGACAAGATGAAAGATGCACTTGGTTTTGGAAAATATGTCCAGAGTCGGCTCCACATGCAGAGGGAACCTATTGTTGCCTGCTTTTAAAGGACCTGTCAGTCCCTTGGTGAGAAATCCCTAGGAAAGCCTGTCACCCAAAGGTATCTTCCTTCCCTTGGCCTCAGATTACTAATCCTTGCTTCTGTGTTAATAGTACTCCATATTTGCAAAGCACCCCTTTTGCCTCTGTGCCTTCCTTTATTCTTTAAATATTTTTCCTTATTATAAAAGTAATACATCTTCATCCTAGAAAATAGAGGTGAACAGAAAAATATAAGACTGAAATGTCTTTATGCAGAAACAAGCACTGTTAGTATTTTGGTATTTTCTTGTTTTATTAAAAAAAAAAATCTCTGAGCAGTTGAACTCACATTTTAAAAATGGGATTATACCATGAGTATTATTTCATAAATTTTTTTTTTTTTAACTTGCTTGTTAGTAAATAGTCTTTGGCAGCAACATTTTTTAACTGCTAGGTGCTGTATACCCTTAATTTTTAAAAGTACTTTCACTTACACTATCTCATTTAAGGGTCGGATGTTTTTGTTTTTACAAAAACTACGTAAAACAGAATGCCTATGGCTTGTTACACTATCTGGCTTGTTGCCTCAAGCCACATAGTGTAAAGCAGTCCCATCTGTGTGGTGTCTGCTGATAAATCCTACTAGGAGGTAAAACAGATCTTCTCCACACTTGAGTGTCTTGTAGCTCATTTCTCTGTATGATGGGGACAGGCTGGGTCAGCAGGCAAACAGAAATAAGGGAGGGAGGACAGAGCAGATTTGGTATCAGAAAGACGCCCAGAGCCCATCTCTCCTCTGAACCCTGTTATTCTTGCCACACATGAATCTTACATCTGCTGCTTTTGTTGATCATTAGTGAGAAAGCAGTCCTTAGATGACAGTCCTGGAAGGTTTCGGGTTTCTTGTTTTTGAAGTTGTACGTTAGAAAAGTAAAAAAGTTGCTGGTTTTGTTATAAGTGTAATTTCAGTTCTTGCTGTGTGGTTAGGAGTAGATCACTTAAAAAAAATCAGAATAACACGCATTCATTCAACTTATCATGTGGTGGACTTAGATAATATCTGATGCGCAAGATAGTTGTAGCTCATGGGAAAAAAATATGTCGCAATGTAAGAGAACTTTTCATGTATTTAAAAGTTTTGTGCCTGTATACATTTCTCATTGCCTTGAGATCATATTTAAAAATTATTTTTTAATTAATATTTTACCATCAGAAGAGTCCTTAATGGCACACTTACGTTAAGACAAGGTGAGGGTGTTGAATAAAAGGGCTCTTGACAAAGGTAGAAGGAAACCACAAGAGTAGAATGATGCCCATGAGCTGGTAACAGCAGCTCTCCTAACCCCTCTGGGTGGGGGGGGGGGCGGGGGGGGGAGGGGCAGCCAGAGTCATGTATGGATGTTCCTGAACATTGGATTCGTGGGGGGGGGGGGGGGGGGGGGGGTGAGGCAAAGAGTAGTTGCCAGAACCCAGGGGAGGGATCTGTGTGGAGAGGGCTGTCTTGAGAGGAGCTGCGATTGTCCAGGATATAGCCACCGTGATGCAACCACACAAGGAAGGAATCTGGGTATTAAAAACCCTGACCTCCTTGCCCTCCTCCCTGTCTCTGATCTTCTTCAAGAACTTTCCATGGGCTGAAGTCAGTGGGAGCGGGATCCTGTTGATGTCCATATGGGGTAGCTTCCTAAGGCAGTGAGCAGGTGGAGAAGATGCCCCCCCCCCTTTTTTTTTTTTTTTTTTTTTT